TTCTTCCAGGTCTTTCTCCTCAACTCTAACCTCTTACAAGGCAATACTTTCACTTTCTTCATGATATCCCCTTGTGTATTAGTAAGTCATTGGTTTGAAAAGTTAAAAAAAATACACCTAATAACAGTTTTGTAATTCTGTGACGTGATACATTCTAAAGGTTCAGTCTGTGAAATGGATTACCAATTTTATGATCATTTATCAACAAATGGTGAAAGTCAGTATTTATTGAGCAATTACCACGCACCAGGCACACACTCGCTACTCCAGTCTTTACAACAGTCTTTTAAGGCAGATGCTATTACCATTTCCATTTTGCAGATGAGAACGCTGTGGCATAGAGATGGAGGGTACCTTACACAAAGGACACACAACTAAAAAATGGCAGACCCCAAATCTGAACTCAGGAAGACAAAAGAATCTGTACTTTGTTGAGCACCCGTGGCTCTGCCTGTAATCCTAGCCACTCAAGAGGCAGACAGCAGGAGGATCTAGGTTTGAAGCCAGCCTGGACAAACAGTTCACGAGGCCCTATCTCAAAAACACCCAACACAAAAAAGGGCTGGAGGAGTGGTTCAAGTGGTAGAATGCCTGCCTTGTAAGTGTGAAGCTCTGAGTTCAAAACCCAGTGCCACAAAAAAAAAATCTAGTTTTAGCCACTAGACTGCTTCATTACACAAAGAAGATTAAAAAGCACATATATAATGGAACACAGAATAAAGCATCTCCAGGAACACTGCCTTTATTACTTTATTTATTTATGTATTTATTTAGAGCCTTGAGGTTGCTAACCAAGTGCTCTACCATTTAAGCCAAATCTCCAAGCCTTTTTGCTTGTACCTATTTTTAAAATAAGGTCTCATGCTTTTTGGCCAGACCAGCCTCAAACCGCAGTCCTCATACCTAGGGCTTTTGTGTGGCTGAGATTACACAGCCATACTACATGCACCACCACCCCAACTTGTGTGCTGAAATGGGGGTCTTGCTAACTTTTTCCCTGAGCTGGCTGGGAATGGGGATCCTCTTAGCTCTGCCTACCAAGTGGCTGAGATTACAGGTATGAACTACCATGCCCTGCCACTTTTATTACTTTAACTGGAATGCTGTCTTTTATTAGACTGATACAAGTCCCGCAAACCTCGTCACCAGTGGGAGCCTATCTTGGTCCAGGTTCCTTAGGAGGAAAGCAGACACTTCTTAATTTTCAAATGTATCTCTTTTTGCCATCTTTCACCATTTGAAAAATTAATTAAAAGAAAAGACAAGGTGATGTGTCAGTATTCTATTGCTGACTATGGTATTGGGACTTGAAGCTCAAAGACTGTTTGCGTTGGCACCAGATCTTATCCCACCCACAGAGTCAGAGGGATTCAGGTGAACTCCCTGGCCATGCCTCTGACTTAGGTTAAATCCAAAGAACCAGCCATGGTGGCTAAGACAAGCAGCCCACACAGGACAGCTACGGGATGGCTCCTGGGTGCTCCCAGATGCTGGACCTCAGCCTCCTGACTGCCACTCTCCCACCCTGACTTCCTCTTCCGCTTTCTGTCACACAGAAAATTCTAGGACTAGACCGGAGCCCAATAAACTTATCCAGAGAGAGGACATTGGTCTGCAGTCTTTGATGTCAGCACACCCACAATGACCAAATGTTTTCCATCAGACACCCAGCCTGGGCAAAGCTGGCTTCTGTGGCTTTAAAACCAACACTGGTCCTCACTTCATGATCCCTGAGCTGATCCTGCAGATGGGTCCTCCAGTTTTGACAACTGAGTAACTTATACTCTTCTAAAGGGATGAGCCAAATCCCCAAAGTCCAAATCATCACCAATTTTCAACTATTCATCACATTCTCTCTTCAGAAATCTGAAAAACGTCTACCAAACTACTTATTAAAACAAGCCCAGCCGCCTTTACTTCAGGATTATAGGTTTCCTAACAAGACTGTTCTTACAAATGCACTCAAAGTTCTATTATCATCTAATTACAATTTCTATATAGCTATATAATAATGTGTGTGTTCTGGAAGCCAAAAAAATTTTTAAAAAGCTTCAATTACTTTTGTACCTACCACTAAAACAAGCAGAAACAGGAAAACTTTCCATACAGAATTTAAAAAAAAAAAAAAAAAAAAAGGCTGGAATCCCTTTACTTACTGCTTTATCACAGCTCCAACAGAGGTGAAAGGAGACAGGCAAAATGTAGGCTGAACATATATGGTCATCCCCAGACTTTCTTACTATATAAAGGAGAAATTAATAAAAGAAGAAAAAAACAGAAAGAAAGAAAAGAAATACCACACAGCATTTTCTTTCCCCAGCATAATTTTTCAATTTTCTTAGAGAAATGCCAGCCAATAACTAATTAGAACCATATCCTTTGTTATCCCAAAGGGAAGACATACACAAATGGTTTTAAAGAACGAATGTTAATAAGAACTTAAAAAAAAAAATGTAAGCTGGAACTTTGGTTTCCCTGCACTGTAAAACAAAATTCCCTTCTTTAAAGCTATTTTTATGGCTGGGGGAACAGCATGGATAGAATCCATCAACAAAAGCTAAGTGTTCACCATCCAGGGCCCTGAACTGGGGGTGCCCTAACTTTTTATTGTTCGTAAGATGAAATTAGCATCACAAAATCACATATTTCTACCCAACCAGATTTCAAGCTGAGAGAGACAAAAAGTCAGTAATAGAAGAGGAATTTGTTTTACACTCTTTGGTTTCAAGAGTAAAAATAATTCCTTTCAAAATGAATATTCAGCTTTTACCATTTCCAATGTATGTTTCCCATAAGAAACACAGTTGCAGCCTTTTAGCTGAAATGTATCACCACAGATAAGAATGTTTTCTGGGATCAGATCTTGAGTTGCCTATCCACCAACACTGAGGGGCAGAAACCACCTCCTTCAAAACTGGTCTGATTAGAGAACAAAGTGAGCTATAGGATGTCAGTTAGAAAAATGCTGAGAAAAAATAAATTTAGTGGACTGGGGATTGTAGCTCCATGGTGGAATTTGAGTTTAGCACGCACAAGGCACTGGATTCAACCCCTGGCACCACAAAATTTTTTTAAAATAAAAATAAATGTTTAAGATGTTAACGCATCATGGTTTAGGCACGTCCAGCATTCTGAACTGTATTTTCAAATGAAAGCCTGCGCTGTGTCATCCAGATGCCCACCGGAGTGGGATCAGTGGGTCCAGACTAGGACTACAGAACACTTTTCATGCAAAGGGACTGGCCAGGGTAGAGAGAGCCAGGCATGGCCTCTGTCATATCAAACACACTCCTTTTTTGGGAAAAGTTTTAAGCATTTCCAAAGCATCTCAATTTGCTCCATATTTTTACTATCCAGTAATTTTATTTCCCCTTCTGTAAAAAATACAATAGGCCTTATGTCTGTAACATTTTACCATGTTTTCAAAAGCTAGAAATCATTTGTATTGCCCAATAAGGACATTATTTTAAACAGACTTTGGTCTATAACAGAAACGTGCCATAAGTATGAAAATATTTTTAGGTAAATCACTTTCTGAACATTATTTCTTCTCAAAATGACCATAAAAACAACCACCAAGGAAAACAAAGGTTCCCAAAATTCTGTATATTCATACCTTATCAAGCATAGAAATCAAATATGGACAAAATAACCTAAAAAGTGGCTACAATGCAAAGTCTTGCCTCTGGGTAGTTACAGGAACCCATGTTTTTCCAGTGTTAAATTTACAAACTGTGTTTGTGAGGCTGTATTTCATTCTAAGTCTCCCGTTTGTACCTTTACACTGCTTTGGGATGGGTGATTTACTGCAGACATTTGAGGTCACAGTATAAGCCTTTCGCTCTCACTAAATCTAAATCATACTTCTCAACAAGATTCTATGCACGTAAAAGAAACACGTGGCATGCGTTACCATCCTCCCTAGAGGAACCTAAATGCCCCCAGAATAGCCTTTCTCCTGTCCACCCCAGAAACTGCCATTCTCTTCAGAAAGGGACATCAGACAGTAATTAAGGAAGAGTGCGCCAAAACTTTTTCTCTGTTGCCATTCATTACAAAATGTCCTGAGTTGGTTTTATTGAAACAGACATCTTCATCTAACAGATACACTCCGAAACCCAAACTAATTTCAGCAGCAAACAGGCAGGAATGAGAAGTTGACAGCAAAGTATAAATTTCCCCCAAGTTCTCGTTGTTCCAGCCAATCTGCACGGCCGGGATCGGTTCTGCATTTAATTCGAAGTATGCCAAGACAACAGTTACCCGTCACGAAATTAAGGGACCTACAAGGACAGGCTGTTCCTGGGCCTGGGAGGATAGCTGGACAGCTAGACAATGAAAAGCTCTCCGGTGGCCATTAATTCAGCCCGGGGGGGCGGGCGGCGAGGAAAGGGAGAAGGGCAGAGGACTGAGCTCCTTTCTCGCCCAGAGCTAGGGTCAGCTGCGGTCTCTCCGGGGTGAGAGGCGGCCTGAGCTCCAACTTGGCCCCCAGGTCCCTAGTCACAGGGGAAGGGGCCCCAGGAAAGCAGAGAAAACTTCCTGGTTGGGCATTATGGGTAGGGGGCTACCGCCTTCCCCTACTAACTACAGGTATCCGCTGGGAGTCAAGTGGTTGAGGGATGAGGCCTCTTTCCGCACGTCTGGTTTGAGGGCTACCGAGTAGGGACCCCAAAGAGTCACCCCTATGCGAGGCTCCCAACACGCGACGGAGGGCTCTTGGGGTCACAGTTTAAGCCGGGGTCCTGGGGCCCACAGGGTGCCAAACTTCCCAGCGCGGGCGCAACCTGGCACCAGCATCCAGGAGTTGCTGCAAGAGCCCCAATCGGTGGAGTCCTGAAATGGGGGCGCGGGCGCAGAGAGGGGCAAGGAGGGGATGAGCCTGCGGAGATGGAGAAGGAGAGCGGGGGGGACAGCACGGTGGGGGCGGTGAGGCCCCGGCTCCCGCGAGCGCGCGGGCTGCGCCCCGAGGCCAGGAGCGCCCACAGGCCCGCGCCGCTCACCTTCCTGTGCTTCTCCTTGTAGGGCAGCGCCAGCCACGGCATGTCCCGCACGAAGTCCTGCCACTGCCGCTGGTCCTGGTCCGAAGACACGAAGACGATCTCCAGGCGGCTCCGTGGCTCGGGCTCCGCGGCCGCCCCGGCCCCCGGCCCCGGCCCAGCCCCGGCTCCCGGGCCAGCCGCCGCGTCCCCCCGCAGGCGGCCGTAGAAGGCGGCCAGGCTGGCGCTGAGCTGCGCGCAGGGGGCGCTCAGGCTGCAGCCGAAGTAGAGCCCGAGCAGCGAGATGCCTCGGGCGCCCAGCGAGTGCACGTCCACCTCCTCGCCACCGCCCGTCACCAGCTTCTCGCCCAGCAGCTCCTCCAGGAAGCCCGACATCCTGGCCCACCACAGCCCAGGCACGCGGGAGGGCGGGCGGGCGGGCGAGCTGGCGGCGGCTACCCGGCTCGCTGGTCCGCGCAGCGGGCGAAGGCGGTGGCGGCAGCAGCAGCGGCGGCAGCGGCGGCGGAGGCGGGGGTGGCAGGGCCCGGGAGAGGAAAGCCCCGCCCATCCGGCCCGCCCACGCCACGCCCCCTCCTGGAGCCCTCGCCACGCCCCCTCCGTGGCCGGCTGGGACTTCGCGGGCCGCCCCGACAGGGTCCGCCCAGCCAGGTCCACAGCAGCTGGCGCCGCGGCGCGGGGGCGCAGGCCTGCAGTACGTGGCCAAAGTAAGAAACCTGACCCGACTAGCTCCACCAGTATCAGAATGCGCCGGCCTAAATGAAGACCGGAGAAGGGTCCACTGAGCCCGCGCTTTCTGAGGTTGCACAAAAGCAGAACCGCACCCCTGCACCCTATTCTCATCGCCCAGTTCTAAAATCTAAGACTTTTCCAGAGGTCCCCCTACTACCCATCACGCGAGCTCTGCACCTCTTCCTGTTCCTTTCCTCCTTCTCTACTCCCTACACAAAGCCATAAGCCACTTCGGACCCCCACTGACCTCTTGTAAAGCTGATAGGATTTAGTGTCTTCACTACACCGATGTCTCTTTATCAGGCTAGGTCTTGTTCAGCAGTTATTTCTCCCTGTATCTTTTGTGTTCTCTATCCTAAGTGGATTGGAAGACATCGCCTCTTCTATTGTTCATGTAGCTTCTGATGGGGTGCTAGACACGCGAGAGAATTCAGGTCACAGTGTGGGGTTTCAGTCCACAGGTCGCTGCGACTATTATCCACTGGTAAGTAACTCTCTTCTAGCTCCACAAATGCATGCAACAGATGGTGCCGGGTCTCTAAATCAGTGCTGACTGCTCGTCTATTCACAGTTTATCTCAAATAAACTGTTGGTAGTTGAGAAAAATTCTGAGGACTTTTTTGTCCCAGCTGACAAGATGCTTTCTAATGTTTAGGGAGAACCTGGATTAAATTTAGGTGATCTTGTGGCAAGTCCTCCCGTTCTCCACCAGCCTTACTCACACGCAGTACAAAAATGTACACATGCCCAACCGCCAAAGAGGACAATCCGTATGTATCATCTCAGCTACCAACAACTCAGTGACAAGGGAAAAAAAAAAAAAAAAATCTCCCTTCTCAGCCCTTCATGGCTTGGGAAATTGTTTCTTGGGCATCTATCGCCATCTAATGGAAGGAGTAAAAAATAGTTTGTATCGGAGCACCAGGTGTGAAAAGAGATGCTGGCAGAACACGTTTGTTAATTACAGAGTGTCCCCACCTCCACACCCCCCACACACACACATCATAAAGTGTGCTATAGGAGATCGTTTAAAATTCAGAACATAAATGCAAGCTTCTGGCATGAACATAAATTCATGCCCTTAAAGTTCTCCATTTGTCTAAGGTAGAACAAGGAATCGTACAGGTCTTCAGCTCAGTGAAATGTTACACACAAACCAGTGAAAATACTGAGAAGAAAGTCCAGAGTAGGATAGTAATCTCTACGAATGATACGCACTTCCTTTAGTAACCACCAACGGCTCAGTTCATAAGTAGGATCTTTGGATTGAGGACTGCCTTTAAGCAAGTAAGAACCCTATGGCAAAGGCAAATTCCATGTTAGTTCTTAGGAGAGTCATGCTTAAAACTCCAGCCACTAGAGAGGCAGGGTTATAAAACACACAGGACTTTGGGTGTAACTCAAGTGGGAGAGCCCTTCCTAGCAAGCAAGAGGATCTGAGTTCAATCCCCAGTACCACCAAAACAAAACAAAACAAAATAAAATAAACAGAAAAAATAAAAAGACACAAGGAAGCATTTATTTTTTTGTGAAAATGCTTTAAACTTATCAATAGACCATATGTTAAATTTCTTTAAAAATCCTGTTTTTAAATCAGCACTGGTGGCTCACTTCTGTAATCCTGCCTACTCAAGACACAGAGATCAGGAGGATTGAGGTTCAAAGCCAGCCCCAGGCAAATAGTTCTTAAGACCCTATCTCGAAAAATCTCATCACAAAAAAAGGGCTGGTGGAGTGGCTTAATGTGTAGTCCCTGAGTACTGAAAAAAAGAAACCCTGTTTTTAAAATCCTGTAAATGGGTTAAAACGCTACATCTTCTCATCCAGATCATATTTTACCTCCACTGGGTAGGTACATGGATTAGACACCGTTGAAAGCATATTGGATAGGTAGATTCCTTCACTTGGACATTTGCAAATGAACACTGCATACACGAAGGACTATAGATATTTACCTCCTACGGGAGCCTCAGGACAAAGCATTTAAAGCAGAGGTAGGTGAAGAGGAAACTGGGGGAACTGCGAATTGGGGGAAACGGTGACATCACTGCTAGTGTACTTAGCTTTGGTAGACTAGGTGCAAGTGTGATATAATGAGGCGGTTTGTGCAGCATTTTACTTTCATTATTTTATAGGAAAGCACTTTCCACTGGAGTGTGTCCAAACCAGCATCTGGCACCTGGGAAAGTGAGAGCTCGAACATACTGCACATGAAATATAAATAAAATTTAGAGAATTGTTGGTACAGCAGACTTTGGTTAGAAGCCAAATCTTGCAGCTGCCTTTAAAGGGGTGTGGAAAGAGGGGATCTTCAATGGAAATGATTCCAAATCATAATCCTAGTGGATGTTTGTTACAAGAAGAAGCCCAAGGAGACTCATTTGGCTTCCTGTAAAGAATTAACCAATGTCCTTTGGCCTGTGGAAAGCAGTACTCTCTCTGCTTATGCAGCAGAAGAGGCCCACTTAAAGAGACTGTCTCTGCTGGGATTTACCTGGTTATGTTACATGAATTGATGGCTATTCTGCAAGCTATTGTTGTTTTAAAATATGTGCTAAGGAACCACAACCTGCCAGACATCGTAAAGAATGTATACATTACAAGATTTTCTTCTGAGAACTTATAGTCTAAGGCATATGTTGTCATACAAAACACATGCAGGACAAATATATATTTGTCACCTTTGAGATTCCTACATCACAGCCTTTGATCTTCAGGCACAGTAGCATATGTACACATGACGTGTGTGTGTACACATATTTATTGTTACATTGGGGACATTAGAAAAACCTAAGTGTGTATCAATAAAGATGATTAAATTTTGACACATTTGTCACTCAAAATGAAATCTGCTTATTAAAAATAATTAATATTTTATGTACACTGAATCTATCTGCTTTTCCAGAAACACAGAACATATATATGTATGTATATATGTATATATATGTATATATGTGTATATATATGTGTGTGTGTATATATATATATATATATATATATAAAGAGATTTATTATAAGGAATTGACTGATGCAATTACGGAAGCTGACAAGTCCCAAGATCTGAAGTCAGCCAACTGGAGACCCAGAAGAGCCAATGATACAGTTCTACAGTTCTAGTCTGAATCCAATGGCCTGAGAACCAGGAGAACCAATGGTGTAAGTTTCCATCAGATTTCAAGTCCAAAGGCAGGATATTCATCCCAGCTCCAAAATAGTAAAAAGAGAGTGAATTTTCCCTTACTCTGCCTTTTGTTCTATGCAGGTGGCAATGGGTTGAATGAGATTCCACATGGGGCAGGGAATCTGCTTTACTTGCTCTACCAATTCAAATGTTAATCTCACACAGAAGGACCCTCTCAGTCACACCCAAAATAATGTTTAACCAAACATTTGGGCACTCCATGGCCCAGTCAAATAGGCTTATAAAATTAACTATCACAAGTCTGTCCCTTGTCACTTTGGCACCCATATGCAGTTCCTTAAACAATACTTAATCTCCAACTAAAGACAATAATGAGTCCTAATTTTACCCAACTGATTAAGCTGTTCTGCATATAAGCAAAATATACTAACCATTTCCCAAGAAAAAGAGGTAAAGTCTTTCAGTGATGTTTAATCTTCCTGATATCTGATAAGTTAAACACTACGATGCAAAATTAACAATACTTAAATACTATGAAACAAAATCCAATTTATCCTATGTTACATGATAAAAAATGAGAGGGAAGAAACAGATATCACACACACACATTCATAAGAAAATAAGGAAGAAATAGCCATAAGAATAGCCATACAGTTACTCTGCAACTGGCCATACATATTGGTATTATAGCTACCTTCTTTCACTCCCCCATTCTGTATTCCTTTTGCCTTCAGCAAGCACCTCAGTTGGCTATGGTTCTTTACGTAGTGAGTGACACAAATCCTCATTCCTGAAGATTCTGGGACATTAGTAGTCCTGTCTGGACTGGATTATTGTAGTCATCTATTGACCTTAATCACAGGGCATGGTAATATAAAGATACTCTAAGAGACCTCCTGTACTCCAGACATGCTGTTCCTTCCCTGCCCTGTGGGAGTAGTCCAATCTTAAGAATCACCACCCCAGCCAGCACAATAACTCCCTTATTTGCTTGTTGATTCCATAGTGGGAAGAGTCAAAAATGATTGAAAAGTCTTAATTTCTAGTTCAGTGGAGACTGTCATAGCTCGTGGTAGAATCATTCTTCTCTCTGGAAAAATACCTAGGCCAAGAAAGCACAAAGTTGTGGGAACAAGAAGCAAAACTTTTGCTGGTAGGTCACTAGGAGCTGGTAAGAGCCGGCATGTGCATTTCCACCCTGGACCTGTGAGTCCCAGATGTAAGAGAAAGAAATAGTATCCTATATTAAATGTTGGTTCAGAGCATATGAATCCTTCTGGGGAACTTTGACCTACAAGTTATTGCTACCTAGCTAGTGATATAACTGTCTTCCAAAGGCCATTTAAGGGCTGGGGATTAGCTCAGTGGTAGAGTGCCACATTGGGGCTGGAGTTCAATCCCCAGCACCACTGCCCCAACACACACACACACACGCACACACACAGCTATTCAACATTTGTATCAATCAAGCTACCTGCTTCAGGAGGATGGAGAGTGTGATGAGACCAGTGGGCTCCATTAGCAGGTACCCATTGCCACGCTTTTGCTGTGAAGAGTCCTGTGGTCAAAAGCAATGCTGTGGACTATC